CCCCCCCCCACCTCACCCTGTGCCAATAGCTCAAATCTCCCTCACAGTGTGCTGATACCCATTTTTATTTCATTTCTCATTTAGTACATGCGCTATGATTGGTAAGCTTACTGGGCTGTATTTAACTGTACAGCCTGCTATATTTAAATTTAAAGGTTTGTTTGAATTGAATTCTTTTCCCCCTATTTGAACCTAGATGAATAATAAATATCTCACTAACCCTGATTTTCTTAGTCCTTACTTTAAGTTATAGAACTTTGAATTTTCTGCTTGGGTTTATGGCCCTTGCCAAGTACTTGGGCCATAAATCCCTGTTGAAAAAAATATGGTATGTAAACTGCAGTACGAAGCAAGAAAATGAGGTCAGTAACAGGTGTATACTCCTTGCTATGGGCATTGAGTGTGTTGCCCACAAACATAGGATATTTATTTGACCACAATTCAAACCAGACTCCTCCATTTGCTGTCCAGTTAGGTAACCATACTTCACTACATCTCCCACATATTACTGAGTTATAAAGGAGATTAATTGTTCAGATAAATGGCTTTGGTTCATGTTTTTATCAATTGTGTTTGACATGGCTTTCTCATTTTATTATTTTGCAAGGAACAATTTGTGGAATTTGGTGGAATTTTGCATGACAGGGAGAAAGTATTAGATATTGAGCCAGGCACTGTGGTCAGCATTAAAACGGTCAACAACACATACAAGGCAAGAAGTGTTGTCATCACTGTTGGTAAGATACATTCTGGAAGATTTCTATTATGAAAAATATTTTTAAACCTTCTTTTCAAACTTTCTGCAGTGTTGAAAATGTTAGCTATCTCACTTTAAAGTTGTGATTATTTTGGTTTGGTTCACAATGTGTATCTGCAGGTCCTTGGGTGAACAAGGTGCTAAATCCTCTTGGTGTTACAATACCCCTTAGTGTAAGTTTGTGACAACAGTTTTGCTTTATGAGAGGTTATATACTTGGTTTGCTATTAAGGTCTATTTAGAAGCATCCAAATCAAAGTAGGACCTGATCAGGACCAAAGAGCAAGCATTGAGAGAAATGGCTTCTCTAGTTATGATTCCCCTAAAAATACATAAAGAAGGTCCTATTGTGCAGGGGCAAAGCCAGGAATTTTTGGTAGGATGGGTCCCCACTTTGATTCAGGAAAGACAGGACATGTTTTGTTGCAAGAAATATTACAAGATATGTAAATATTAGAGACTTAATGTTTAGCCGTTACATATAATCCTGTTGTTACAAGAATATTTGTGTCGGACAAGTAGTAAAAACTCACAGTTTTGTTGGGGTGGAGGGGGAGATCAGGACCCCATGAACTCTCCCCCTGGATCCACCAATGTTGTGTAATTCCTAACTGTGTAAACAATTTCAATAAGAGATGCAAAAAAAACATAAAAAGGCTCTTTTTAGGCCAAAGATAAGTAGTCAGGCTGCTAACCAAGATTTAAGATGACAACATGACAACAACTCTTTCTGTGTTCTTATTGCTAAAAAGACTAACATGTCTGCACTGTCTGCAAGAAAAAAAAAACTAAAAAACTAATGTGCTTAATATACTAAACTAAATTTGTTTCATTAACATTTTCTTCTCCTAAACTTTAGGAGAAGGAAATGCACTTGCCATCTCTATAATGACCCCTTTCTTGTTTCCCCAATGAAGCCATGGTAGAAAAGTTCAACTGTAGTTGTTGATTGTTCTTTTTGTACAATGTTTTAGATACAGAGAATGAGTGTTTGTTACTGGCCAGTAACTGAACCCCATCTCTACTCTGCTGACAAGTTTCCGGCCTACATATTTTGTGCTCCACTGGGATGTAGAAAAACTCATGTTTATGGGTTTCCAATAAATGAGTATCCTGGGCTTATTAAGGTAAATTTTCAGCAGTTATAAAAGGGTTTTTGTGTGTTCCTATTATTCCAGGAGCTGTGATGTTTTTTTTTTACCAGTTTGGTTTCATCTGTGATCAAACACTATGAAATTTAAAGTTGAAACAAATAATTACTAAAGAGTGGTATCATCAATGTCACACAATGCCAGAAGGATTAGGAATTTACTTAGTTACTTCTGTTTTTTTATGGACTGGCATGCCATCCAGGAAGAGTAGCCATACAAAATACCCCTCATTAGTCTCTTCATGCTGCGGTAACTGCAGCTACATGAGTCACTTGGCTTGAGTGCAAACCTCTGTAAATCTGCTGACCTTTTGATGTGGAGGCAATCATATCTGCCCACTGGATTGTACAAACCTTTTAAAGTTTATTTAAAATAAATCTGTTTTTGATATCTGTAGATTTGTCCTCATAAAGGTACAGATATACCCAGTGCTGACCACAGAGATTCTTGCACACCACAAGAGGACCCCAATGTCCAATTTACAGCTAAAGTTATTAAGGCTCGCTTTCCTGGTGTGAAGCCAGAACCAAGTATTGTGGAGTCATGTATTTATTCAGTGAGTTTATTACCTGAAAGTAATCTTTGTTGTAATTCCAGATCCGGGGATGTAGTTAGGGGATGATCCAGGGATGTAGTTAGGGGGTACAGGGGTGCCTGTTTTTGCCCCTCCCTTGTTGAGGTTATCTATTTTACTCAGTAGCATACAAATCTCAAACTTCAGGTTTCTGAAAATTACTAGAATCCCAAGATTTTATGTGGCATTAATCCCTTCCAGTGGCAGATACTCCCTTTGTCAATCCTTCACCCTGGATGAATATGAGCCTGTGGATACACAAGGAAGTGCAACGGTATAGGCCACTTTATTTAAAACCTTGCCCCCCCCCCCTCCCCATCCCCTCACCTTAACAAATAAGCTATGTCTTAAAATCTCCAACCTGCATTTTTTCTTTTTGCTGTTTGAAGGTTACTCCTGATCATCTGTTTGTGATGGACAAGCACCCAGAATTTAGGAATATTGTAATTGGCGCAGGCTTTTCAGGTAACAGAGAAGGAACAAATGGTTATTTCATTTACATGTGTTTTAGAGCAGTAGTGTGGTTGTTCATAAGGGACAATTGCATACATGTGATCACAGTCAATCAGTGGCAAACTCAAAATAAACTCAACAATGAAGGCATAGGCTTAGACAGGATTTTCATCTGTCTTTTTATCTTCAAGAGTGACCAAAAGAGAATTTCTCCATAAAATGTTAAAATACTTTCAAGTAGAAGGTTGGTAAAAGGAAAGGAAAAAATAATCAGGGGGATATTTGATTTATCACCAAATATTTAGAGCTACAATCATGAGAAATGTATGTTGGACTATGTGGAAAATTTATACGTTGATTTAAGAAATGAAAAGGTGAGGAGTTTCTTCTCTACTACCATTAATCTTAATATAAAGCTGGAAGCGCTCATCGGCAATATGAAGCTAATTCTGCGTTCTGATTGGGCGATGCTCGCTTTGATCCCGCGCATGAATTAAAGTGCGTGGAGCGGACTTACAAAGTACGTAACTTTTGGACCATTTCGGCGATGAAGTCGCAAAAAGCAGCAGGACACAGTCAAAACAAAGAAAACGAGGGGTTATTGTGCTACAAGCACAAGTGGCTCTCTTTCCTGGCTCTCGAAATAAACAAGTCATTCTTGATTCTCATTAAAGCGAAATATTTTTACTGTATGATAAATCCTTTATTGACCAAGCTTGTTCCTTCAAGATGGCAGGATATTAGCCTCGTTTATGTGTTTTTTCGTTTTTATGGACCTCGACTTCGTCGCGCAAAAAAAGAACTTGGCCAGCATCCAGCCACCTTGACTTCACGCTAGGTCAACAACGCATTTTTACTGGGTTTTTAAGGGCATGCCATGTCGTTTTACTTCTGGACAAAAAGGGGTCAAATGCACACTTCGACCCCACCCTTATGTGAATGTCCACGTGTCACCGCTTTACAGGTAGCAAAAATCCCGCGATAAGGAAATAATGTCAGCGCAAAGAAATTTGGAAAACTCTTGCTACTTAACCCCATCACAATTGGTCATGAAAGAATTGTGGGAGATTTATTTGTTGTTGTTTTATGAACGGGCTTTGTTTCCTCATTGTTCATTGTTCAATTGACAGGGCATGGTTTCAAAATGGCGCCTGTTGTTGGAAAGATCCTGTCGCAAATGGCGCTTGGTGAGAAAGTATCCTACGATGTGCTGCCTTTTAGGCTGTCCAGGTTCACAAGCTTTGGAAGAAGTAAATCTTCACTATAGAACGCTTCTCACAGCACTTTTCTTATTGGAGTGTATGAACTGGACTGATTTCAGGCATTCCTCCAAAAAGCTGTTTTATTTTTTAGTAACATACTTCACTTACTCTGAGTCCCATATGTAGATTGGGACCGTTACCATTTCAAACTATGCAGTCACATTTTATTCCACTCTCCCCCTTTGGGAAGTCACGCAATCCCCTTGTTTCGAGGAGGGCGTTGCGTGAAATTTCAGTAACGCCTATGTAATGAGGGGCTATCCTATAGATATTCGTCATTGTTTTTTTTTTTTTATTTTGTTTTGCTTTTTTCTTTTCTTTGATATTTTTTCTTCGTTATTCTTATTACTATTATTATTAATCGTTTTTTAACAACTAGACCGTATGCAAGGTTCATATTTTAGGTTAAATTACTCCTGGGGAATAAGATTTTTTGCGTGTTCTGGACTCGCGCAAAATGTTTTAAACCTGGATCTTTTTTTAATGGACAACCGAGCGCAAATATTCACCATACTTCTTACTGTGTCCCCACAAACTGTCTTCCCACCCTGAATTTTATCAATTTAAATTTTTAGGAAGAACTACAAGATCTTGGTACCGATAATCTATTAATACGGTAGCTAAAATGCAACAAAAAAACCCTGCGATTTATGGTTAATATATAGCAATAATGAGAATCGATTGGTTTTTTTGTTCATTTGATCCATATTCATTGTCTGAGAGATAAGATACGATTAAGAAAAAAATTAATGCAAATCGCACCGTTTGGAGCCAATCAGGTTGCAGTGATCGCTGATTTGAAGATGGATGTAATAAAGTGGTATATTTATATCACGAAAAGTACTCATCGATAGAGAAGGTGGATATAACACCGGTATATTTCAAAATAAACGAGTGTTTCCCATTATTGTTGCTGACTTGTCTTTCTCAATGTAACCTAAAACGGTGAATTTCGTCATCGTTAAGATTACAGCCGAGCATTCTATCGGCAGTGGGTTAGAGCAAAACAAAGTGTGGAACGCTTTTGCGAGAAAAGGTTTTATTTTCATTCGATATGATTATTTACACCATAGGGAGTTACGTTATGATTTCAGAATCTCAAAGGTTTAAGATGGTGAAATTAATTTAATTCCGTTCAAATTGGTTTACTTAAAACCCTTTCGTTTCTTTTTAGTATTTCAAGCTTTAACACATTCTCATTTTAACCCTTTCACTTCCAAGATCTGATTGTTAATTCTCCTCTTTAGCTGCTACACATTTCTTGTAAATTAGTGACGTGAATTTGGGGTTAGGTCTAGATATCAACCACCCGATTAGTGTGAATATTCTCATTACTTGATAATGTATGGATATCATGGGCAGAAGTTACATGTTAATCACTTAAAAAAGTTGAAGGATTAAGAACTGTGCTCAGAATGTCGATCGTCGGACCAATCGATCATTAGTTGAGAACTCTACACTTGTTCATAGCTTTGACTTCGTCGAAGACCTTTAGGAACTTAAAAAAAGAATAAAGTACAAGACAGAATTACCTCTTGCAGATTCCCTGAAGATTCAGCGAATTGAAACGGGTTGTGGAAACATACACCAAAGAGTTTTATAATAGCGAGATGTGGCGCGCCGTAGTTTATAGGAACGATTTTAAACTAAAGCGCTTTTAGATCGACTGTGATTAAAACTAAACTTCAAGTGAACTCAGCGGCCTATCATAACAAAGATACTTAAATAAATCAAGGAACCAATGGGAATTTAAAGAGAACGCGTTATGGCTCTCAAGCGCGGGAAACTGCGAGCTATTAGGTCGAAATTGGTTGTAGTTTTCCTTATGATTGGTCCAGAGGTGGCACGTTTTTCTTGACCAATCACGGGGCGACTATACCTAACCTAACACTGTCAAGTTCATTCTGTATCATCTTCCTCTTCAGACAAGTCTGAATGAGTATCAGCTGTAGAACTATATTGACTTGTCAAGTCACTTTCGGTCAGATCTCCACGTTTAGATGGTTCTTCTGAAGGTGTAACATTAGAATTAGAAATATCAAGGTCTTCTTCGTGAGGTGTGGGGCTCCTGGCAAATTCTGATTCATCCGCAACACTTGACTGTCGGGAGGAAAAGAAGTCTGATTCACCTTCTGTTGTGAAATTACTCTCGTCATCTGCGTACAGCGCGTCGTCTTCACTAACGCGGCGATGACGACCATTCGCCTCTTTCAATTTCGGTATGTTTTTTGCTTTTCTTGAATTCTCGTTGAGTGAATTCTCATCCTTCTCAATTTTATCAGTCAACGTATCCACAGGCATAAGTATCTCGACCTTTTTTAGGAGCTCTTCATTCTGTAACATGAGCTGTTTCGCTTTCTGTTGCTCCTCCATGGCGAAATTGTTCGCTATCATCACAGCGTGACGTAAGTCCTCTTGGAGGAGTTCAGAATCCCGAAGCTTTTCCTCAGTTTCATCGTTGAGTGCTTCGAGTCGGGAAATTATATCGTTCGACTGTCGGAGTTGGTCGTCGGATTTTCCGAGCAAGGCCTGTAAGGTCTTGATCCCTTCCAAGTGGCTGTCCACTTCTGCTGTTACTCTTTTGAGACTGCCATGAGACCTTTTTATTCGGGTGTCCATGACAGAATCTCTTCTTTTTAGCAAGTATCGGCGAAGTGATTCAACCTCATCTTGCAGATGTTGTTTCTCCCGGCAGACACGATCTAGGTTCGACTTCACAGTCGACGCTTGTCGCTTCAGCATACGCTCGCCGGGCGCAGGTTTCCGTGGCCTGGATTCCTTTTCTTTTCCAGCATCGTCATCTTGCAAAGTGCCTGAAATTAGAAGTATTTTGATGAGTTCTTTCTAATACAAATTGCATGATATTGAGGCTCAGGAACACTGAGCCTCAAGGGGGGGTGAGGTGGGGTGGGTGCGTTTACGAATACCCAATGCGATTGAGTCAGGCGCGCCGCAGGCGAGGTCGAGAGAAAGATTAATTTTTTTCGCTGCCGGACTCGCGTAAATCTCTTTTAGCCCTCGCCACAAAAACCCCAAAATCAAACAACGCCTATTTCTGTAGACTAACTTGACCTTCAAATCAAGGCAGTCCCCTAGGGGACTTACCACAGTGACAAAGGTTCTAAACAGTGTCATCGTATAAACCAACCTCTATGGAGAACCGTGCTCCGAAAAACATATAATTTATCCCCAACATTTACATATGTATTCACTGTAGATGAACTTGTGACACTGACCGCGCTTTGGAGATGAAAATTAGGTAGTTCGGCTTTGCACGAGGAGACTTTAAAAATGGATTTTGTCCTTGAGACCAACAATTTCTACCTTCAGTGTGCAAAAGTTAGAATGTTTCCGCGAAGTGTCCTCAAAAATGGGAAAAGGTGCAAATCTGAGTTCGCTTTTAAAGTATAGATGTCTGCTCAACAGAGGTTCGTTTAACCCTTTACACCCAAACATCAGTATTCATATTCTCCATACTGTTCTCGATACATTTCCTAAGGTGCTGAAAAGGAGAATTTGTATAACAATCAGGAGCTTCTTTAATTGGTGATCATTTCCTTTTTTCTTGTGACCTTTTACTTGTGATTCAGGGATGATATTGTAAGGAGAAATTAGATGCTGGTCACCCTCAGGGGTTGAATGGTTAACAGTGGGTAGGGAAAGAAAAATTTGACTCTTTTCTTGGTTACTGCTTGTTTTCAACAATAAAAAGATGTCCAGTTTGTAAATTAACGCGTGTTTATTTATTTTACCTTGGGCATTACTTTCTCCTTTGGCCAGTCGTTCCTTAAGCTTTCCGAGGTCGTTTTCAATGGCTGCCACTAAACTTGCCAGTTCTTTATCCTTAGCATTAGTTGACGTCGCATCCGGTTCCTTCTCCAAATCCGTACCACTTTCTGTAGAAGTTTGTGGAACACTAACCTTCTCCTCTTCCTCCTCATCTGACGACGATGACGCATCGGAATATTCCTCATTTGAAGTTGGTTCATTTGATTTATGTTCTTCTTGTGTAAATGACTGCGCCTGCGTGATAATTTTGTCCAGAAGAGGCTGGGGCAGAGGAGATAGCGGTGACATTGGCTCGGTGTTTCGCATTTCAAGACATTTTAAAAGCGCTAGCTTCTCGTCCTGAATTTCCCTCAGGGAATCTTTTAGATTGTCTCTATCCAGTTCAACACCTCTTAGCCGTGTCTGCAAGGAGTGTTTATCTTGCTTAGCTTTTTCGGACAAGGTAGCATGTTCTTCTTCCAGTTTATCGTAATTTTCTTTGAGTGCATCAAACTCTTCGCATAACTTATCAAGATTTGACAACAGCTCTTCTTTTTCGTCATTGGCTTCGTTCAAACTAGATTTTAACTGTCTGTTCTCAGCTTTGATTTTTTTCAGAAGCATCCAAGTTTTCTCGTTCTCATCGTCTTCGATTTCACTCTCAGTATCCTCCTCGCCCTCAGTCCTCTGCCCTGAACTAAAACTGTAATCAGACTCAGACAACGACAACTGAAATCGATACTTGAGTTGTTCTCTGCGAGAGATTGAGTCTGTATTGCGAGAGATGGAGTCTGTATTGCTGGAGATGGAGTCTGCTTTCCGAGAATGTTCAATGACCTTTGGTTCATCTTGATTTTCATCGTCGTTACTTTCAGATTCAGAGTCACTCTCCTCCCCTTCGTTTTCTTCCTCCATCACATCATCCACCCGGTGCCCGGAATGAAGGTTTAAAATACTCATCAGTAAGGTTTGTTTCTCTTCTTGAAGTCTTCCAACTTCGTCTTCTAAATCTATGACTTTTTTCTCAGCTTCCACAAGGTTAGAACCCAGTTTCTCCAATTCCTTGCTCTGCTGATTTGTCGATTGCAAGTTCTGTACGTCTTCTCTGTAACAAAGCACGTATTTAAGGTACTTCGCTTCACGTCGTAGCTCCTTCATTTCCTCCACAGCTTCATCTCGTTCGCCTTCTAGTTTTTGGAAAGAATCTTTAAACGAGTCTAAATTAGATTTTACACTTGCTAATTGCTCCTGAAGGCCAGTACACCCTGAGCAATCAGACCCTTTGCTTGGCGGAGTTAAAGGCAATTCATTGTTTGCGCGGCTCTCTTGTTGCTCAGCGCTTGTTTTTGTCGCGACGTCTTCGACTTCAGAAATTCTACTTTTTAAACACTCGACTAAGAGTTTGCTCTCCTCAAGTTCTCTTAGGAGCAAGTCCTTTGACCGAACCTCGTCACACTGTGTATCTTTATCGATAGTTTTGGTGTCATCAAATACTTGTGTTTCCTTTTCGGCTTTTTCGCTGTTTTCGTTCTGCAAACCACTGATAACCCGTTCCAAACCATCGACACAATTTCGCATGGTACCAACGAGTTCAATTCCATTTTCAACAATCTGTGACTGTAAACATTTATTTTCCTCTTTAAGCTGTAAAACAGAATCATTTAGTGACTGCAAACCTTGCAAAAGTGTTGTAATTTTTTTCTTGGATAGTCCATCTTGCAATATCAGCTTGCTATTCGAAGTAGTTAATTTTTCAATGTTTTCGATGTACTCTGTAATTGATTTCGTTTTGTATTCGTTTTCCTGCGTCAGAGTAGATTTCAATTCTTCCAGCGCTCTTTCGTTAGCCCTTAGTTCTTTTATCTGCTCTTGGCTCGTTTCCAGAGCCATTTTCAATTTATCGCCTTCAGCCTGTAAGCCATTCATTTCCTCTTTGAGCTTTACCGAAGACGAATTTAGCGTTTCAAGTTCACGTGTTTTTTTCTCGTTTTCCTGGACAACTTCGTTGACCTGCTTTTGTAAATGAAGTTTTTCTTTTTCCAAGAGTGGTACAACAGCCAGACGATGTTCCATGCCCTGTAATTTCGTCTTCAGCTCAAGATTTTCACTCTCAAGCTCTTTAACTTTATTCTTCATTACTTCCAAGTCAGACTTAGCTTTTCCTGCTGAAAAAAAGTACATTGGTTAAAAAAAAAAAAAACCTGGCATCGAATATCCTGAAAACTATATTAACTTCTACATCACCTAGCTAGGGTTACTGTTTTACTAGTCTCGTACCCAGACCTTTCACGGCCAAGCGGTTGAGAGGTCGCTACATTTCAGTTCCAGTTACACGATAGAATCTGGGTATGAGGTCATTGTTTTACATGAGCGGATTTCATGGAGGGAGGGGGGGGAGGGGGTCTGCCTTCTTCCAAAAAATTGTCCGTCTATCTTCTTGTTAATGTCTATAGAGTCAGTCTTGCTTCTCTATTCGTTTACATCCTTGCCTTCTCTGCTTGCTTGTCTGCCTGTCTGACCACGGTCTGCTTGTCTGCCTGTTTAATAACCTTTGAGTTTCTGTTTAATTGTATGTTTTATCGCAAATACCTGTTGTGTGCACATCACTCGCGGCAGCTCCGGTAGATTTCTTTTTTGCCTGCATTCTGCAAGACCAAAGCAAACAATAAATTCAGCGAGTGAAACTATGTAACGTTTCGTTATTAAAAATTACATTTGATACAGTAACGACCAAGTAAGTAAATGTTCACGACTTAAGTCAGGCAGCCAGCGTAGCGATCAGGGGCTTGCTTCTCGAAAGTCCCGGTAACTTAACGGGACCAAATCCATCTCTTAAAATCAAAATGTAAAGATTAGAGGTCAGGTTCTGACACCCTGACAAATTCATTTTGTTTTTTTCAGCTGATAACTTTATTGCATAATATTCAAATCTTTTGAAAGCCCGCCGGATCTTTAATGCAAACAGAACAGCTTTACAGGCTGCTTAAGTTACCGGGACCTTCGAGAAACGGGCCCCAGGCCTTGTAGAGCAAAGGGAGGCGGGATAATGGGTTTAACCAGCTCTTCCAGCCGAATTATTCACGGAATATATTAGTTTTCAGTTAAGTGTTGAAAATAATCCGGGATTGTAATGTTTCAGGTTAATTTCGCTTTGTGATCGGCTCAAAAAGTTAACTCACTTTTCGCCAATCAGAGGATCTGAATGAGGTCTGCCGTGACTTTCTAGCTTTTTCAGCTCGGTTGTTTTGCGACCCCCGGCCTTTGTGGCATCTTTCGGTGTCAAGTGTCGCCTCATCGCTTTTGGAGAGGAAGCAGGACTGACAGATTTTGGAGTTCCTGTGGGACTGGACTGGGCACTCGAGGAAAATGGAGTTAATTTTGTTTTTTCCCCTGCAGTGAAGGATCTTGCTCTTGGCTTACCTACAATGATCAAGAAGAACTTAGTTAATATCATCCCATTTACACATAATACTTCCAAAAATTAAATATCAGTCAAACTTATAATATGCAATGCGGGGCAGTAATTTCATTGTTTCTTCCATCTTGTGTTGTTACAAGAGTTTACCATGTTGCAGGTTCCAATTCGTCTTTACGACAAGACAACCTTTACGGGCAGCCGTAGAATAATTTTAACTCAGTATATTGACATATAGTGTGATGGTCAATCGGTAACAACTACCCCCCTCTCACCCTCCCTCTCATTTTAAATAGTTGATCCGCCCCTGAACAGGAAGATGCAGTAAACGTACTCACTGAAATCATCGATAACCTAATTAATAAACCTCCGAATTTTTCGTCTATCCTTCGACTTAAAGGTTTGGAATACAAAGGAGTCTAATTTTCGTCACAAACACTAAAAACCATGAACATATCCATCCAAGAGGGAAATCTAATTTTTATTTAAGCGTAAGAAAAAAATTGTCTTAGATCTTTGTATATTTGGTAAAGCAGAAGTTGTGTTTTATTCTTAGTTTTGTTACAAAAACAACATTGATATCAATTAAAAGATTTCATTGTCTCTTTGGTAAACAGACTCCGTCAGAGTTAATTCTCAAATCCCCTCACAATGGTTACGACTTGTCAAACACTAATAAATATAATGTACATGTTCGGGCTCAAATTTTTTTTTGATTGAAAAATTTTCAAACTAGTTTGAATTTATTATTTATATCAAATCGCTTGCCAGGATCTCCGATGAAAAAAAAACAGAAGATCTACCGCTTGAGAATTTTTAAACCATGAAGGGGAAATTTGAACCGCATCATATACCGGACATCCTTCACTCAGCAGACAGTCTACATTAAAATTGAATGGTGCAATATTTCTCCGTGTTTGGTGCTCAGAAAATGCGTTTGTAGAGTTCCTAAGACAATACAGTTAAGTTTAGTGAAAGGAAATTGTCCGTTATAATAAAATGAATGGTATTCTTCAGTTTTGAATGACAGGAATGGTATTAAATTTGACGTAAGGGAAGCAAATAGAGAAGCAAACCAAAGCAAAACGGCATTTATTACATCAATAAACAGTAAATAGAAATGAGGGCCAATGATATACCGGTTAATGAAAAAACTGACCCAAACATTCCGAACATTATCGGATATGCCAAGGAAAATTATCTTCCAATCGTGTGACCCGAGGGTGCCATCTCTGTACGCCATATTACAATAATTTGTTTCATTATTTTGTTCAATTAAAGACTGGATGAGTGATTGAATGGTTTCCCTCAAATTTAAAGCCATTCATTACCCCCGTAACACCAAAACAAATATGAATCTAATCCACATAGTTCTGTCCATAACCTTTAAATGTACTAAATCAACACAGAAAAACATACCATACATGTAGATATCAGCCCTCTGATCATGCAACGAATGTAGAGTAAATCCAACACGATGTCGCTACGTTATCACTGGCTTAATCGTGACGCAAGTCACTCGCGAAGCGAAAATTAGTAAATTTCTGCCCAATTTGCAACAGCAAATAGTACTGAGCTCAAGGAAACTGAAAGGCAGACTCCAGACTGGCAGAAAGCCCAGCGGATTGAGTATTAATTTACAGACTATAAAAAAACATGAGTTTGTCTTGATTTCACGCGCTATTGACGTCAGAATGAGGAATATGTCAAAAATGTACTTTTGATAAAATATACTTTCACGTTTAAACATTGCTTCAAAGTACAAAGTAATAACCCTAAAAACTCCTGAATTTTAAGCAAAATTGATAGCGACTCTACCACTCCCATCAGACAGTCTATTAGAAGAATTATCTTTAAAAATATAATTGGCTATGCATGACATCACGCTATCATAGCTCTGTTTAAGAACTTAGACCTTTACATACGGGCTCCTCTGACGGTTAAGCTGGCACAAAATAATTCTGTTGCGTGTTTGAAAGGGATTTAGAACCAAAAAGGTCGACTTGGTCGCCATTTTGTGGTCATTTCTGCAAAATGTAATTCGCCACGAATCAAGCAGGTGTTGAACTAATGGCTAGAAGAGCCTTTAGGACTCAAAAGTTAAGAATTGGTATGGATAACGAAAGATTTAGGAACGTCTAAGTATTTATCAGAGTCGGAATGTGGTAGAAGATGATCGCCGATCGGTCAGACTAACATAGGGACATTTTAGCCTTTTTACATTCAAATTAACACATTACCTCCAAACGGTACTTTCAGAGCCGTTGAACTCGCAGCTTTGCCTGTAGGGTTTTTATGCTTACTTGCTTCTTTGCCCATGATCTTTGGAGAATGTGCCTTAGCGAGTACTTGTTTATTATCTTTGATGTGATGATCTGAGGAATAGAATTTAAATGGTTGAGACACACTTTAGATCCTTTCTCGTGGAAGACCGCCTCTTAACAAACTTCTTCACCTTCTTTAGAGCCACAGGTCACAACAACAGGTTGTGCGCGCCTTTATCGCTATCGGTGAACATATTTCTGTTTCGTTGGTTTTTTTTATCAAGCTTCGGTCCGTAAATGGGAATCACTCTGAACACTGTCACGCGATGTGATGCTATTTACTAGCGTTGGCAGTTAAATACTGCTAATCCTTTCCTGGTTTATGTATTGGAAGCATAAGGAACACATTTGATTATTCACGAAAACTAATAAATGCACAATGAAAGATCATTAATACTGATCATTATTCAAATACTACAATTTTTTTCGGCGCGGTCGACTGGTTTCGGAGCCATGGTGATATTGTAATAATTAATAAATTTACGTTCATACATTAACGCAGATTTCAACAAGCACGTACTAAGTTAACTGATATTGTCATCATAAAAAAAAAAAAAATGGACTTTCACCGATCAAAAATTATCTTCGCATCTTAGACCAACAACACTTCATGAGGAAAATCAAAATGCCAAGTCATTCTAACTTTACGGAAAAGTTAAAATGTATAACATGTAATTTAAGGTTTCCGCATTGTAAATATTGCACTCCTCCTGGGAGTGAAAACCTCGCCAGACGAAAACTACTTTTAAATCACGGCTGGCTATGTCATATGATACATACCTTTAGAAGAAATCTTTCTTTTGCCTTGTGAGGGAGAGGGCGGAGAGGAAATCGCACGTGGTTTGTTCACAACTCCTGCATCCGCCATGTCTCGAGACACACCCTTGCCATCATCCGGAGTTAACAACGAGGTGTTTCCCTTCGGAAGTGATGGCTGAGAGGGCGACATTTTATTCATAGCAGAGAAAGAGTCGCCCTCTGTTTGTTGTGCCGTTGTGCTTGATTTAACTACGTGCTGGGAATTAGGGCTCGTTGTCAAGTTCGATTCCTTAATCATGGAAATTGAAACTTCGCGAGTGTCTGCTTCTGCGATGGAATCTCTAGGTGAGGAACTCGGCAGAGACTTTTTGTTCGCAAATGGCGAGATGGGAACACTTTCGCCGTTTTCATTCACCTGAAATGGAACGCAGACCGAAACAGAAGAGGCCCACGCATCTGATTGCTGCTCTACTCTGGGGGACTGCTGTTGACCTTGAACTTGAAAAGGTATGGAAACCTTAACTGAGTCATTTACAGACTTTGGAGAAATGTCCTTTACACTTGCATATGATGGGGACATCGAAACAACCATGGGTTCTATGTCAGTTGCGGGCCAGGATAAGTGTTTAGGCGCAGAATGCCGTCGTTGGCAGAGTGAATGGGTATTTTTTCCCATCCAATTTTCATCAGCTTTCTGTGGTGGCCATCTCGCACAAATTTTACTCACTTTCGTGCCTCCATTTAGCTCATCTCGTTCCGCTCGTTGGTGGTTTGCCTTTTCTCCTTCAGTATTACTCGAAAGAAATTTACTCTGCAAACTGATCGATCTTGTTACAGGAACTTTGCTGGGAGTAAGCTTATTCTGATCCAATGCTGCGGGCTGATAGGTAGGCTGAGTAGTATCGCTATACCTTAGTGTCTGCGAGTTCCCGCTCCCAGTCGGTTCTAGGTCGACAATCATTGCCTCTGAGGCTACCCACTTTGGCTCTGGCGAGAATGGTTTTGAGGTAATTACATTACCATTCTGCTCATCACGTTGGCCATCTGTTTTGTCGCCGAGGAGAAACTTCTCCTGAGTTTGACGTTTTGTCAACACTGACAAAATGGTGGATCGCGCTTTTTTCTTTATGATATTTCCATTATGTGGGAAAACTGATGGCTTTGAAGGGGCTGTAAGATCAAAAGGAAAGATTAAAAAGCTTTTTAACTGTACAAATCATTTGTTGAGTTGTTTTTTATTCCCGTGCATGACGAGCTTTTCCTTAGATTGTTGTTAAACCGAAAGCAAAGTAATCACAAAAGCCAATCAGAAGATAGGAAACTAACTTTATAAGCCAATGAGAAATCAAAATAAAACCGATCAAACCCACTAAAGCGCGGGAAAATGCGGGCCACCAATTCGTAATTGGTTTTAGTTTTGCATCTGATTGGTAGAAAGATTGGCGCAAGTTTTTTTTTGACCAATCACGAGGGACATCAACAAAACAATCCCAGATTTCATTCGACACTAAATTAAAAATTGGCTGTTTTCACGGTGAGATAAGAGCTGTTAACAATTCTTGCGCTTGTTCTTGCGTCGCTCGTAAAAACCAGGCTTTAGTTAAGAAAACATTGATGTCTTTAGTCACCTGTGACCATTTCACCGCACAGGGTGAGGTGAAATATTGCGAGACTTTAAAGCTATTTAGGTTTGTACTTTTGAGATTTAGGCTCATTTATTTTTCCGTCAAAAAAAAAAAAACAAAAACAAAAAAACATATATATATATATATACACGAAAAAGTGTACGTTTGCGGTAATAAATATGTCTTGGGCCCGACTCATTGTCATCTTAGCTCGTGCCGCTAGGGGAGGTTTAAAGTGACTCTGAAAAGGGCCCAAACAGTAATATGTATGTATTCCAGCGAACAAAAACTGTACTTCTATCATTACCACTTTAGAGAGCATCGAGAAAATAAAAACAAAACAGTCTGAACAATCACAGGAGCGTGCGAGCGACCAACATCTCCATTTTTAGCGGGCAAAATGCACTACAATGTCTGACAAAGGGATCATAATATGATTTTTCTTACCTTTATCGGGCTTAGAATTAAACTGTGACTTGGTGAACATGGTAGCAAATCTCCAAGGTCACTTGATTATCGGGAAGGCTTTTCCTTGAGATACAAACAAGAAAAGAAATTAGATCATTTTGTAAAAAAAATTACTTACCAGCCTTCTTATCTAAACCTTGCAAATTAAGGTAAGACGAAATTATAACTGAATTCAATCTCGCATAGCATGATTTCAGTTTCGCTGTTGACTAGAAACACTAAATTCGTCCAAACTATACCCCTAGAAGCCTTTTCCTATTAAAATAACGCTGGAAGAAAATAATTTAATCCCTGAAATTATTTTCGACTGCCTTCAACAACACTGTAACGCTAATGGGCTTAGAAGAACCTTCTTGCTGAGTGTGCAAAACAACGCAAATCAAGAAGCTGAGCATTTCTGAATTTGGCGATGTTTATGTGCATTTTTAACCCTACGTGACTGGCGGTTTTGGGAGTATTTCTTTAAACTGGGGGCATGTAAGTCGCGAAACGCGCTGCGAAGGTGCTCGTCGCTTCGAAATGTTCTTTGTTCCATTCATTAACCGCTCCGCCGCTCCAAAATTCCACAAAATCGCCAGCAACGCAAGTTCCGACAGTGTGGGTGTCAATTGCGTAATTGGGCCGAATAACATCGCACTCAAAACAACAAGTTAACACCTAAGCGCTTAAGCATATCATCCACTTCAAATTTGAAGAAAAAAAAAAAAAAGAAAAGAGTTATGATTAAGGCGTCGAATACTATTATTAACAGACCGCATACAAATCTCTTAAGATTCTAATAATAGTTGTAAACCCCGTTCAAATTTGACATAAGGGAATGAAAGAGGCTAGATTTAGCTCTGAAAATACATGTTTACCTGTGCTGTTTCTCGGAGAAAAGTTGTAAGAAGAAAGAAACGATTTCTCTTTAATAAAACCACACAATAAATATGAACACTGGAAAATAATGACATGAAGACAATAAATTGTGTCCCAAGTTTAATTCAACGTAGTAGACTTTTCAAACGGAGCGGCAAGCAATTCAAGTGAACAGGCAAACATCTTGTTCCCGATGGACATGGCAGCGAACATAGCAAGTGTCGCCTGGGCGAACTTACCGTTAAATGGCTGTAAATGGCTCCATAAATCACCTTTTTCTTGCGGACCTGAGGAAGATTGGTGTCAAGGGGAGAACAAAGAAAACTTAGAATATCAATCTTTTTAATAAAAGAGTACAAATGAGTACCTAGTAGAGAAATTTGTCGAGTTGATATTTTTCGATGAAGAGATTTATTTGAGTGCTTTTCAAGAAGATGACATTTGCGCAAATGGCCGTTGGTCGCAACCTTCGTCCAATTTTGCCAGTTTGGTCTCAAAATTATCGTAAATGATTAGGCATTCTTTTGAAAGAAGCCTTCTCGTTTTTACCTGACGTGTTTGCGTTACTCATTATACCACAGATTGATGGCAATCATGGAAATTTACTTTGCAGCAATCAATTTAAGTTTGACAAGAATTGAAAAATTTGAGTTGGCACTTAGAATTTCAGGACAGCGTAAATAAAACGTGCTGTAATCTTGAGTGAGAGATTCTCGTGCGGTTTGAGTCGCGTGAAATGTTGTAGTTGTACACACATTGACTGGTACAATGTACACAATTTCATAACTTAATTCGTTCATAAACAGAACGGCTCATTTGCCTTTGACAGCATCTCTCAAATAAGTCACTGCGCCAAAATATCATCAAATATCACTGAATGGATGGATTCATCAAAACTTGGCATCAAACGAATGATTTAGTGATTTCCACCGCTTTATCGCAGCTTCATAACCTCTAAATGGCCATGCAGCCGAAAAGGTGAACTCTCATGCATTATAGAGGAATCCAAGGTCTTGAAGAGCAAATTTCTACACAGATTACAGATATAAATGTCATACTGCGAGAAACTGTTGCGAGGTGGCAGGAGTAAACAAGCGTAAAAGCAAGAACTTGCTTATAATATAGGATACATTTTAAATAGATTATAGACTTAAACCAACCGCAGGGTGAAGGTAAGTGTAAAGAGGTTACATACCCCGATGGTTGAAATACAGCTCAGAAACACGATCCAAAGTGGTCTGGAGATGTAACTTTTAACGACGATCGATCAAGAAACCTGTTCAAGACTGCGTCGGATTACGCTTCAGTGCCCTCAATTGCGGTGGTTTCTTGAATTTAAATGACCTTAGGGATTGTGTTAATGTGCACTCCAAACAGAGGGCCTCAAATTGTTCAAAACCTTAGCTGGAAATTCTTAGCTATCCTATAAACTCTCTATCACATTGTCAAAAGTAATTGCAATTTTGCACACAGCGGGTATCCCTTATGACATGGAATGAAAAGAATGCAATAATATACAGACCTTCAGTGATATTGTTCACCTAAAAGAAAGCATGCATAACAGTCCAAAGTTTTCTGTCAAAACAAATTCAGTTAGGATCATTCCTACACATGAATGCAACGGTGACAAAGCTGAGCATCATTCACTCATCAACATAAGCGAAGTGATTGCTGACAGTTTGAATATTTTTTTCTGGCAGATATCACTCCATTCATTTGACTTGATTCGCTTTGGAAATTTTAGGAAGCACAAAAATCGCAAAAATCACTATCACGAAAAATATTATAATCATTTATTTCCCTCGGAAAAAAAAACCATGGTTGATGAAATGAGGTTAATTCGTTTCTTCCCATGGAACAAGGACATTCAAGGTCTTTAAAAAAACCAGCGGATTATCTTTTACGAGACAAAGTTACGGAAATGAGGTAAATTAATCCTTTCAACACGTGAGCAGTGTGGATTGAAGGGATCTCCATTTGTGACCCTGGTCAACATGACTGGCTTGGTTTGCGCCAGCTACCCACATCACTTCGTGATCTGTAAACAGTTCATTAACTTCGAACGAGAGAGGGGTCAACGAGCGCTGGCCGTTTTGTTTTGTTTTTTTTTTCCAGTTTCCTTTCGGTCGTCGATCTCGTTAACTGGAGTGAAATATTTCCTATTTAAAAACGTAACTTTTTTAGCGCAGAATTTAAGACAGATTTGCATCATTCACAAGACACGTAGATGTCACGTGTACACGAACCTCTTCATGGCCAAGCTGGGTCTTAGTCCTCGTCATCCTATCTCATTCGCTTTTCTTTTCATTCTCCCTTTCGTCTCTTTCATCCTTTCTATACCTCAATTCCTTAATGGATCGGCACCAGCACAAATGTTTGTTCATTTTCTTGATAAAAGTATAGAATATTCCCAATTATTTCTCAAAAAGCGATTCTCTCAGCTGTCTTGAAAATCCGGCCGTCAACTTGAGTTGTTTGTCAAAAAAGTGAGTTCCGAAACTTAGGCACTTGTTATTTCTAAACAAAAAAAATTAGCGTCATACTCCTCCACACAGTATCATTTTGAATACTAATTGTGAGGCTCACTAGATGTTGATTTGCATTGCAAATATATGTACTCTCATTGGATATTCATCTTTGCTATGTCAGGATCTTTGAACACACGTGGTGCTCAAAACTTCGCCAGCCAGCTCGGTTTAAAACTTCTTTCTTTAATTTACAGTTTTTTTTGTTAAACAAATCATGGCCCAGGTGGCCTTAAATGTTTTTTTCGGTGTGCAACTGTCCCCACACAAGAGTTACGGCCAACAACGGAGAGTTAAGCTAAATGAGTCAAGTTGTGAAGCGACAGACGTCTAGTCTTCCTCGAGCTTATGTAAGTTATCCAATTTCGCTCTTCCTCACTTCGAAATAGGTTATCAATAATTTTTTGCTTTTCTTGAGCTTCAGCTTATTCTTACTGTCGACTCTTTCTGCCAATCTGTCCTGAAGATGACGGAGACGAATAGCTTTCAGGCAACAACTTATTAATCCCTTTCAGTCCCAAGATCTCATCAGTAATTCTCCTTACTGTCTGCCATAAAATTTTCTACGATGTTAATTTGGGATATTTGAAATTTGATCAATTAATAATCCCCTAATTTATAATTTTTTATTCTCATCACCTATCTGCTTGATAATGTATTGATATCGTAAGGAGAAATTCTGTCTTCATCACAATATCTTAACAGTGACCAATTCACCTTATCAACTCAGTTCATAAAACCAAATTGTCTTGTTATTCCCCCCATTGACACAGCACCACAGTTTCTCTAGAAACTTATCCCCCCTCCCCTTGTTTCTGCGTTTGAGATTGGTTCAACGCAGAACCGGTCGTATAACAAACAGTAAAACTTAAAAATGCTTTGTGGGAAAAAAAAATTCAGGATTAGTTTAATCGTGGTTTGAACGACCAGAGTAAGAGTGTGCGTGCACGTTTTTGATGATAGTTTACACCTCTGATTTTGACACTCTATTGAAAAAACATTCAGAAAAACACTGTTCCATGAACAGAATCATGTCACATCAGGCTCGATTACCAACCGCTGTTCGGGAATATGAGCCCGCTCCTCCTTCCTTTGCTTTAAAAGACTGAAAAATTTTATGGTGAAACCAAGGTTTTGATTGGTTGATTTTAGCTACAACTTTGAGTGTGATTGGTTGATTTAAACTACAACTTTGAATGTGATTGGCTCATTGAATTGTCCCGATAACAAACGGTCCGATTATAACTTGGCTAGTGAATTCGTGGAAAATAGAAGTTTTTCCAACCAATCGGAATCGAGGAAATTGTGATTTTTTTTTAGGTTAATATAAAAAAGTATCACAGAAAGACTTAGTCAGGGCAGACGAAATCTCGACAGCGCGCGCTATTTGTAATTTGTATTCGTGTTACATGAAAAAGCACCTGTTTTCAGCCAATCAGAAGTGCGTAATTTTTTCATGTTCATTATTGCTTGAAGTACTTTGGCAGGCAGTAAGGAGATTTACTTATGAGATCCTGGGAGTGAAAGGATTATTACAACTTGGTTCATTTATTATTATGATCAATTTATAAGCAACAGTTTTAATCAAGGAGAGACCAAAATTCGTAAACTAGTAGAACTCACCTTAAAATTACGATGTTTCGGAAGAAACATGATCTTATCATCATTTTGCTAATTTCGATTGAGTGTTGTTGAGCCAAGAATAGGTAATCATAACAGTAACTAAGAGAAAAGGTAAATATCACAATGAACAAATGAGAATTTTAAGTTAAAACAAACTGTAGGAAGCGCGGGTAAACGCAGGTGAATAAGTCGCAATGGTTTTAGTTTGGAATCTGATTGGTCGTGAGTTTACCAAAGAAGAGCAAAACCCACGTAATCTAGAATAACTTGAGACGCTCAATTGAAAACCATTTGTTAGTCCTCTTCGTTTGTCTGTGCACATAAGGTCTCAGCTAGAGGACGCCATTGATTTCTAGCGGTCGCGACCATGGATACGAAAATTGCAGAGGATCAACTTTTAGCGTGACAAAGAGTAGAATAAGGATACGTGATGATTGTGTCAAGGATTAGAGAGAAAGAATTTCAGAGTGCTTTTCCGATGAGTTTTTTTTAAACCAAAACCAAAGTAATAACAACAATCAGAACGATGCAAATGATCACAAAATGAGAAGTTAAAGCGAAAAAAAGTAAATTGCTCAAAGCGGCAGTCCAAGTCACAACCGGTTTTAATTTTACATTTAATTGGTTGAGAGGGTCGTGTGAGTTTTCTGCACCAATCACAGAGCAAAGTAAAGCAAAACCAACGTAATCTGGGACTATTTTCGACACTTAATTGAAAATCGCTCTAAAACTGTCCTATCTGGAATAACCTATCATATGATTCAATACGCAGTCTTGTTGGTAATAACAAAAATTTTGAAAAATCCCAGATCTGACGAAGTTGAGGATAACTGTTTGGATTTAACCTTTTATCTCCCACAAGTGATAAACATGTGACTTCTCCCTACGATATCCATAGGTAGAAGTTATCTTGATCTAACACCAAATTCTCGTAACCAATTCACAAGGCAATGTGTAGCAGCTAGTGGGGAGAATTAACAATCAGATCTTAGGGGTTTAAGGTTAAAGTGCGAAATTTGCGCATTCCAGAAATTTAACTCGGCTTGATCTAACTAGCGCAGATATATTTCATAATTGTGGGTACAAAGCTTTCAGGAGCAAAACACGTTTAGTTAAACCGAACGTAACTGAATGAAAACCAGAAACAGAACTGAAAGACTTAATTTTCCATAGGGATCAAGTGATTGAATTGTCAACTTGCAATTTTAATGTGCTGTATTTGAATTCGACAAACATCCATTTAACATGTTTTATGAAAAAAACAAACCATGTCCAACAAAATAGCTGTAAAGCACGTTTGAGCTTTGCTGTGAGTGGGGCATTAGTTAGGATTTCTTTGATTTTTGGAGAGGTAGATTTTTGTTAGGTAGATGCACGATGGATGCTGGATGCTCCACCACCTTTTAAAGAATTATTTCTTTTTTTTCTTACAGGTTCTAAAACTGATCCCAGAAGATTCAAGAAAAGATGATCGAAGAATGTTATCGAGTTAAATAAAGTTTCTAAAACGTCCCACATAGATACCTCCGTTCATCATCGTCCAAGAAATCTATTGAGCGAGAAATTAGATAGAGAGTTTGTGCTTTTAAAAGGGCAGCCTATAATTATGAAAGAAAAAAATGTTTTCTCCGGATAACTGGGGCAAAAAAAATTAGTCTTCCGGAAAACGCTACTCATAGGAAAAAGTCTGCGCTATCGATCTGTATTTAATGTTGATTAAAAAATATACTCTTACAAGTATACAAGTCTTTTGGCGGGAAAAATTTTGCACCGCGCCAACGGTTTTATTCCATTAAGAGTCAAAGATATGTTTTATTTTTTTAACATTGAACGTTGTTCAAATCTACAGAATTTTTTTCCTTTCGGTAACCCTCCATTTGCAAAAAAAATTAAAAGAGAGCCTATGTTTTGACTTGTTACCAGACCCTTTTAAAAGCGCAAATTGTTTGTTTATTTGTACTCCTAACTGAAACACAATAAAGGAAAGGAAGAGACAATATATATAATTGATATTTTTATTTCTTTTATTTAAAATTTTATTTCCACAACAAGTCGAAAAGCGTTTACAACATTTGACAAGCATGATAAAACATGGTACAAACGCAATGAGTCTAGCCAACAAGAGATTATTGATTTTAAAAGTAAGACAAAATTAGTTGCCAAATAAGTTTGATCATGAAAGTTAGTATGAACTATGGTATTCTTGAAAGAGAAGCATTCTCAGAAAAAAAAAAGAAATCAAGTTAAATACGAACAAAAATTGACTTAATCTAAATACTACAAACTACTCGCAATTAGTAGAATAAAGTATGGAATAATTTGAA